GAGAGAGAGCACAAGGCGCATAGCCGCGCCCCCAAAATTCTTCTCCTTCACACCCACACACCCGCGCGCCGTCACACCACTGCTTCTGCCCTTTCATCCCTTTTTGGCCCCGAGGAGTGGCGGGGCGCGGCGTCGAGGCCCGTCGCGCCTATTCAGCTCCAACCCGACACCGTCGTGCGCTTCCCCGCGACGCCACTCCGCCCCCGTTACCAAAAGGGGTGTCGGGTTGTTTACATTACCGCGGCGTTTTCATTATCGTTACTCTGCCACAATGGGACGTACGGAGGACTGATTGTAAATGTGGAAAGACGAGGAGCTGCAGGGCAGGGGTGTTGGCGTGCACCAAGTGCGCACCTGGCCGCCCGCAGCGCGGCGCTGCGCCGTCACCACCAATGCACCTCGTACACCACATATACCCATCGTCCATGAACGACATCATTTATAGGAAACGCAGTGGGTTACTTTAAAGCCGCAAAACAAAACGGCATGAAAATAAAAATGGGGGAAAACGGAGCAAACTGGCGCGAGCATGCGACGAAGGGCACGGCGCGAGCGGCATCGGGTCTCCGATTACGATTGCCCGTATCAGTGGCCTCGAGCCGCAGCCGCGAGGGGGTGAGTGGAGAGCGAGGTGCGAAACATCTGCAGCCACCGGAGCTACAGCGGAGCCAGCCTGCGGTATTGACATACAACACGCGCTGCCACCTACAGTACTGGCGACGTGCGTTAAGCCTCTTAGACGCAGCGCCCCGCTTCTCTCTCTCTCTCTCTCTCTCTCTCTCTCTCTCTCTCTCTCTCTCTCTCTCTCTCGTGGCGCGCGCTTATCAGATCACACGCTCTAGCCGCGAACAATACGCGAGAGGTACCCTCTCCTCCCACTGCTGCGCTGGCACCCCGACCGACCTGAACCGCAAAGCGCGGGACGGTGTGTGCGCCCCTCATTGTCTCTCTCTCACTTGCGAGTGTGTGTGTGTGTGTGTGTGTGTGTGTGTGAGTGAGTGAGTGAGTGAGAGAGAGAGAGAGAGAGGACGCCGGGAAGGCGCGACAATGCGCAGGCTAGGCCCGGGCTATCGAGAGGGACAATCCAAACAAACGCCATACGCTCACCTTCTTCCATATTGTCCTCGAATTGTGCCACAACAATGGGCCACGAATGGGTCGACAAATGCGTTTTTGACACTTTTTGTGTACTTTGTTATATGCCATTTCGGCTGAAGGCGCGTCGTCTTCTTGGTCGGGACGGAGGAGGAGGAGGGGGAGGAGGAAAAAGAGATGGAGAGGAGGGGGGGGGGCGTGCGCGACGCCCTATCAGACAATTAATCGATAGCTGTGATGCGGCGTACACAGCAGCGATATAGCAATAAATCGACGCACCGACACGACACGGCACCCGGCGCTGTTCCTTGACTCGCATCATGTCTCAGGCGGCACAATGCACCAATCCTAACCTCAAAAAAGTTTTCCACTAACAAAGCCGCAACAACGGCGCGATGCAAAAGCGTATACTAAAGCTGTTGCGGACAGGACAGTCTCTCTGCGGCTGACAGGCCGAGGGGGTCTGATGGACTCGGCGGGAGCACGGCCCGCCGTAGGCCGCCCCGCCCGGAGCCGCCCGGACCAGAGAGCGATTTTCAGAAGAATGACGAGACAGACTCGTGCGGTATGTGTCGTGGGTATCGAAGGGAGGCGGTAACGGAGTAGGAGGGGATTTGAGAGGAGACCGGGGGGGGCAGAAACATTTTGTCCTACTCTTGTAACAGAGTCCAAACTTGTACATTCCCAAGATTATTTTGTAGTGAATGTTTACTGTACCTGGTGGCTGGTGGCTGCTTGGGCCGGTAGGGCTCCATGGTCAATGGTCAGGGAGGAAAATATGGATCACCCAGAAAGTAGG